GTTGGCTTAGGGCCTGCTCATGGAAGGCAGTTCCAGCTAATGGTCTGATGGGTTCCCAGGTGTTACTTTTCCAGTCACTATTGTTATGGTTACTGTGTCTGGAAAGAGGCCAACACCCATCACCTCACATGCTTGCTCATTTGCACTGCCTTGGCTGAGATTGCCAGGCAAGGTATTGCTCAGTGCTTTTGCATTTTGGGCACATGGCTCTTACGGAATTATTTTGAAACACATGTAGTAACTTTTTGATAATTATAGTTTTCTGTACTCCTTGCAAGTCCCTGTAGAGGAACCTCATTCCTTCTAGGAGTTAGTGAGACACTGAGTAGGCAGTGGCATCCAGCAATATGGATCAGATTTCAGCCCCCATGTCCCGAGTGGCAGAATTTAGCCTAAGTGATGTAAAGACTTTAAGAGAACAGTAGATTATGATGAATGATAATTAAGTACTCTTTTTTTAAAGCCTTTTAGGGGGGAAAAAAAGATTACAAAGACATTTCTCACTATCCTTTTGTTTCTTGCTGTCATAATAGCTCTCTGTAGGCTTGCGTAGGCTTTGTACTAGTGCACAAAAAAAGGCAACAGGGTCTTGGATAAAGAAACTACTGAAATTTTCCTGGAAAAAGGATTCAAGGGTCATTGTTTACTATAGTCTAGCAGAATTTCCATGAAAATTTACCAGCTCAGGCAAGAAACTGCTCCTCTACTCTGCTGCTGATGGAAAAATGAACTTTTTTAGGGACCCCCTTGATTTATGTTACATTTCAATGTCTTTTTGTTCTTTAACTCACTATAGTTTCAAGTAACATTCTAGGATTATTAAAACTGATAGGTGTGTTTTTTCTGAAGAAAAGTTTTTTCTTCTTCCCTTCCCTCCCTTACTGGTTTAGATGTGATCGGTGTTTTAAATTATTGTAATTGCTTTACTTAGGACTCAATTCTGCAAATTCTTGTGTACGTTGCCTGTTGTCTGAGGGTAGATACATGTGTTTAAAGTGTTCACAGAATAGATCTTTACCCTTAAATGAGGGAGAGATTTTATTTCCTTTTCCACAGAACAGCAGAGGAAGCTTCAGGTGCCCATTCCCCCTTGCCCTTAGGAGTGGCTCATCTGTCCCCGAGGAATTCAGCATATGCTCAGAGAATTCAGTTGTTCTGTACTACTTGTAAAACACCAGCAGCAGAAACGCAAAGAAACCCCCACCCAGTTCAGGGAGTCTGCGCTAATCTGTTCAGTGAGTTTGGCTATTAGGATGTTATAGCACTTGTCCTGAAATGCTGGGAGGGTTTCGGGAAAGCCAGTTAGTTCCTGTGGATTAATTCTTAGGGACAGAGAGGCAGGCCTGAGCCAAAACCCCCGTAAAATGGATGAAATGCCTCCTAATGAGTTTAGTGAGTTTTCCTCAGCCAAGTCCTACTGGTGTATTTGGGCAGGATCATTATGGCTGTGCGTCTGCGTACTAGTAATGTATGAAGTTGTGCTCTCAGTCATGAGAAAAGGCCTGGAGAAAGCTGTGCTTGCAGAAACCAATGGTTCTCGGTTGCTGCTCACCTTTGTTATTTCTTAATGAACAGGCACAATGACAACAGCTACCTGTATCCAGGGTTGAATAGGTTGGGAATACCTCACCTGGCCAGCAACTTGCCTGCATGTGCCAGTGCTAACACAGAGCAAGTCTGCCACATCTGCTGCGTGAATGTATGCTTCTCGTCAGTGTGGTGCTTCAAATTCAGAAGAGTGATTCAAAGGAGTAATCCAGATAACACAAATCAATGTCATATACCAAACCACAATCTTTGCATGCATTGTGGCTGCATTGCGGGAATCAGTTCTCCCATTCTCTTCCCCTGAATTTTTGTTCATTTGCTACCAGGGACACAGTTCCAGTGGTACAGCCTGTCACACAAGCTGACCTGTTGGTAGGAAACTAGCTTTTCCCCCTTCAGCATCCCACACCTCTTATTGCTTAGGGAGACATATACATATATATATATATAGTGTGTCAGTTACAGTTAACATTGAGTAACTTATATGCTGAATCTAAGAATGTTAATATTTCTCATGTTTGCTTCTTGGCCCTTTTGGAATGGTTTCCTTTTTCCTTTCTTGAGTATATTGATCTCAAGAGGCATATAAAACAGCATGGCTGATGTCAAGGGTATCTGATTCAGGCAATCCTGATACAGAGATATCTGAGTTTTCCCTGAATATATGTGAATAGCATACACTGATTGGGAATCTAGAAGAAGTGAGGGCTTGGAGAAACCCATGCAGAGCAAAAGATCAGGGAAGACTGAACAGGAATCTAGAAGAAATAGGGACTGAGGGAGATACAGACTGCAAATACAGATGGGCAGTGGTAGCAGTCCTCCTTGCCATTGCAGCATAAAGCAGTGATTTGAAAAGCATATAATACCATTGCTAACAAAGAGGTAGAGATCTTGCTTTAGAAATAGAAGTGAGAAAGATTCCTCCCACAGCAGGCACACAAAGTTTTCATCTTCCCACTCACACCACTGCTCCAACAGCATGCAGCCCTGTTTGCATCCTGGCAATTTGCATCCTGGGTTGAGTGAGTCGGGAGCATGGAAGTTGCAGTAGAGGAAAAGAAAAAAATGCTGACCCCCTACCAATGGCAGCACGCCCCACAGGATGGGTCTGGAAGCAATCCTTTTCCTCCTAGCTTGAGCTTCATGCTTTCCCTGTCTTGGGGGGGGGGAAGGGTTGTGAAGAGATTATTTAAAAAAAAAAAGAAGTTAAAAATTGTCAGTGTCCTCAAACCAGGACATCTGCTTATTGGATGAGTGGCTTAAACATCCTCATCCAAGGCAGCTGTAACCTAAGCAGCCAAAGTCCACTTGAGCTGGGGCTGAATTTGGCCCATTGTCTCTCCTTCACACCCACAGTACAAAGAAAAGCTTCAGCTTCTTAGGGCTAGGTGGGAGGGAGGAGGTGGGAATGCCACTGGAGCGTGGTGTTGCGTTGACAGTTGATGTGCGTTCCTTGAAAACCTGAGCTTCTCATCACTTCTGGAGGTAGCAGTATGACAAGTCATTGGGAGACAAGATGCAGTTTGTTAGGAGTGGGACATTATGATGAGCATAGGATCTTTATAGGAGAACTATGGAGCAATGCTGATTTCTGATTAAGGGATGGGGAAAAAAGCAGTGTTACCCTGAAAACTGGGCTGGAATCTTCAAAAACTAAATGTTTGGCAGGAGTTACATTCAAAGGGGTCACCAATTCAGAATGATGTTTACTTTCAACTGTTCTTTAAATAACTTAAGGCTCTGCCCTCTGGAGTAGAAACAGCAGAGTAGACTGAAGGGCTTCTACTCTCAGTTAAATCTGGCAAATAGACTATACAGAGTGACTTCATTTCAGCTTGACCTGCATTCAAAACCAAGATAAGTTAAATAGGAAGAAGCGATCTTATTTCGGAATAAGTATGTTCATACGGTGATTGTATTGTTACGTCAGTTTAATTTGCAGCACAACTTAAAACTTTCTTGTGAAGACAAATTCTTAGAAGAAAGATCACTTGCACCTGTGAGTTCACATATACGTTCTAAGATCGCCACTGGGTTTTGCCCTCATGTGGTGACCATCACTGCTAGAGGATACCTTATAAGAAGCGGGGTGTAAGAGAACAAGTTTGGGGAAGGATTGCCAGGTTAGAGTGTGATATAGAGAGCAACATTTTCCCTGTGTATCATTGCCTGCAGTTTCACTTTTTGTATTTTTCACTTCTGTAGAAGTATAGTGTAGAAGACAATAAAAAACAGGTGTCCTAAGCACCTATATTGTCAGATCAATATCCCTCCTAGAGAAAACGTGGTTGTTTTGAAGGTGGGTATTTCAGGTGTTGAGCAATGACCTAAACTAGTTTTCAGTGAAATCAATGCTTCCCATTGAGTTTGGTGAATCCAGTTAGGCCGTTGATAAGCTCTTCTGTAAACGCAGCCTAATCTCAAACTCAGCTTGATCTCAGCAAAAAGCCCTCAGCACTAAATTGTCATCCACAAGTGTTGTGCAGCTCTGTTTTCTTCTCCAGCAGGGTATCATGTCCTAGTGACAGAAGCAATGAGCCTGCTGTCCTTGTTTGTAAAGCACATTGGGATCCCTCAGAGCGTAATGTGAATGCCAGTGGGCTGTGGTTCTCTCCCACCCGGGTTTCAGTTCCAGAGCATGAGACTTTTTCACTTTCTGGTTTTTTTTCTTTTTTTTTTTTCCCCTTTCTGCCTTTGCGACAGAGCACTCAGCTGCTGTTAGTGAGCAGCTGTTCTGTTTCCCTGTCTGCCTGCAGCGGTATCCAGACAGCTGCACTGCGCGGCAGCCAAAGGTGGCCAGAGCAATGCCCAGCTTTGTTAAAAAGTAACAAGATTGGGAAAGAGGGGAGGGAGCAGGAATATCTGTGACCTGGAGTAGATTCTACAGCACACTGTCAATGGGTGCCGAGAGACGCGGGTGACCTCTGTGTCCGACTAGAGATGCATTTTGTGTGCATCTGTCACAGTAAGACTCACCTGCTGGCTCGGAGAAAGCCGTTAATCAAAAGGTGATGCTGAAGTTCTCTGGGAAAGGAAGTATTGCTGACAGTGGCAAACAGCTTATGTTCGTGTCTCATGGAAACTTAAATGTGCATAAGTGTGTGTTCAGCATCTGCTTTCCGTATACTGCATGACTCAGAGACAGAGAGGGTCAGGTGTGGCTGAGAACAGGCCTGTGACATGCAGTATGATACTTTTTTTTTTTAAATTTCTTGCATGCAGCTTTCTTGTGGATGGTAGAGTATTATATTTAAGTATTTGTCCATTCTTGGTTTTACGTGCATATTTTTCCAGTGACGATCATAGTGTCTGTTTTGTGGTTCCACCTTTGAGCACTTTCAAATTAGTGAGGAACAATTCAACGTGCATGAAGCTATGTGGTAGGTTTGTAGCATGTTAGGATTTCAGCTTTTGCCCAACTTAATATTTTTTTTTTCTTTGTATTCCAGAAAAAGGCATGGCATACAATTAAAACCATGGTTAACTTACCAGTCATCAGCCCTTTCAAGAAACGCTACTCATGGGTGCAGCTGGCTGGGCATACAGGTGAGATATGGATATCTTCAATGTGTTTGTCTCTGGAGTGGGGATGGCAGCAGCAAGGAAAACAGTGTGTCAGTGTTCTGTTTCCTTCCTTCAGGTAAAAGGAAGCAGGCACTGGAACATCTTCCCTTCAGTTGTGGTAGGGATAGGGAAGGGGGAGTGATATACCTGAATAATAAGATGAACAAGGAAGCAACGGTCAGCTTCTGGGGAAGAGCCAGGCTCCCGATGCATCCTTCTAAGGTCATATGTGAAATACATGTTAGAGGGAAACAAGAGGGACCAGGAAGTTGAAGCCATAGTCCATCTGCTGCTGTTGGTTGTGGTAAGGGATCGTCTTTCTTGACTGAGTAGTCAATATGTTACTTCCCTAGTGCAAAGGATTGCTGTATGTGCCTCAGCCTCGGCAAGAACAGTGTTTCTAATACCAGCCCCAAACCCCTCATCTGAACATAAGCCTTTGGGTGGAAAACAAATCCGGTGAAAATTTACTTGCTGACCAGGTGTTTGCACTGCGAGTCTGTCACTGTTCACTGTATGAGTGCAAGGAGCAGCTAAGTCTGCTGGTTCTAGTTTTGTGTCTGTGGAAGTTGGTAAGTGTGCTCCTAATGTAGGCTTTGTTTCATTGGTAAGACAAAAAAAACCCCAAAACAACAAAGAGAAGTCATGAGGTTTGCTACTCTTGTGCTTCATTTAATTCCTATGCAGCCCCTGTTCCTAAAGTGTTAGTGCGGGGTTTATTAGTACACATGTGGGCAGGCACCTACACTGCATCGTGCTTTAATGCAGTACCTGAACCACCTCTTTATATGCTAATGCACTAATATCATGCACTTCAAAGCTGTGCAGAGAGATTTATTTAGTCCTAGAAATGGAGTAGCTGCATTTTGCTTAGTGGTGTTGGTGGGGCTGACTAGTGTCACGTAGAGTGCCAAGATGACCCAGTCTTATTGCAGTTCTTATCGTGGTGTGGGGGGAATTGGCTTGATCTGTGTGGAGCGATGCATTCACTGGTCGTGTAATTGCAGCCCTTCTGAAGGCTCATGTAGTAGGGTGGAAGAGTAGCATTAAGAGGTTACTAGAAGATGAGGAGAGCTACTGCTCCACTTTTAGACAGTTTTCTGTGGCTGCATTTAGCCCACCAGTTGCAGTTGTTGTCGTCTGATATAACAAGTTCTTTCTAAACTAAAACCTGGGCCATTGCCCTTGTGCTGAGGCAGTGCCAGTTATACGATTTGTCAGAGAAGAACCAGTTTGCAATAGCTGAAGGATCCTGCTGTGATAAAAGTTGAGCATTGCCCCCAGGTTTAATGCTTTGCTTATTTTATGTTGTGTAGATTAAAGGGTACCTCTGAATAAAACCTGTACTTTCCTCAGACATTATTGGCAGGTTGCAGGACAGGAGAGCGACTTCCACAGCTGGAGTCTAATTACTGCCAATCTGGGCCTATGCAGACTGTCATTTGTACTGGATACCATTCGGACACTGGGTTGTAAAAAGACAGTTGCACTGCAGGCTGTACCTGCAGATTAGCAGGGCTCGGGAGAAGAGGCAGTACCTGGAGGTACACGCATGCGCAGTCACAGCGTGCGTGTGTGTAGGAAGGGCAGTGCTTGGCTTCTGGCCTGTTGGTGGCTGTTTAACGATCACTGATTGACCGTACATACTGCCTCGGTACGTACACACTCAGCAGGTATACCCTATGTGAGGATTAAGGACAAAGCCAACACTGGCAGTGTTATGCAGCTTTAAAATAGCCTGTCAGAGGATTAATGAATTCTGGCTCATGGCTTCTTCCTGTGCATTTTGATAAGTATAGTAGTGTTTGATATCCTAACTAAGAGTTTAGCATGGAAAAAAAAAAAAAAAACAAACGCAAACAACGGTGGCCTGGAGCAGCTGCACTCCTTAAAGCTATAAATTCTGACATGGGAATGTATCCAAATGGAATTTCACTGCCAATGGCTGTGTTTGTCCTGGGTGTTTTATTTTTTATGAAAAGCATGTTATCTTTTCTGCTCAGGGGAAACCTTTAACTGGTGTCATGAGGCTGAGGTAGATGAAGCTGGAGTAGTGGGGGAAGGTGTTTTTCTTTTTCCTGGGTCAGTCTCGTCAGCATGTGTTTGATTTTCTTTTTTAGGGAGTTTCAAGGCAGCTGATAGTGGGAAGATTCTCAAACGCTTCTCAGAGAATGAAAAGGAGTGTTTTGAGCGATTGATGAAAGACCCGCTACGCTCCTGTGTCCCTTGCTTCCATGGTGTGGTGGAGAGAGATGGCGAGAGCTACATTCAGCTGGATGACTTGCTTACTGATTTTGAAGGGCCTTGTGTGATGGACTGCAAGATGGGGATCAGGTGGGGTACCTGAAAGAGAAAATGCTTTCTAACCCAAATGCATTTGAAGGAAGTGGGTGAAGGGGGATGGATGTGGTCGTGCTCTGTCTGGAGAAGTTTGGTAACATTTTTGGAGCCTTGGGATTCAGTCCAGACAATCTGTTGTTGGTTTGTCAATTGCCTTGGACAGCCTGAGGAGAGTGTGTCCCCTTGTTGTCTGATTGTACATGGATTCTGTAAACTGACAGATCTGTAGCCTCAAAAACTATCCACATCAAGATATTTTGATGGGTGATTTAAGACAAAGTTTTTCTGCAGTGGCCTGATAATACATGGTAAAAAAATTACATGATTCATTCACTGCCAGTTGATTTGATCTTTGTGTATGCAGTGATTCAAAAAGCACCACGAAGAGTAAAATTCTGGTCTCTAAATGTGAATGACTGAATAGCAGTGAGAAAGCCCATGTCCAAGGCTTGAATGAGTCTTCACTGGTATTGATCTTTTCTGTAAAGAAAAGACTTGACCATCTGCTCAGGACTGACCTGTGTTTTTCCCTACTCTTGACATCTCCGTGATGCTATCACCTTGTTCTCCAGATTCTCACTTTCTTTTCCTTCTCTTGTCTGTGATTAAGAGGAAAGTCTCAAAAATGTTATCTAAGCATAACAAATAGATAAGGAATCTGTTGAGAGCCTGGAGTAACAGTACAGAGAGGTATGAACTGTCATAGTAATCTTTTGGGTGCCAGCTCATGCTCAAGACTTATTGTTGTAAATGAGTTATTCAACTTTGAGGAGCGCAGACAAGCCTTTTCAAATAGATGCAAAATCTTAAGTGAATTGTCAGCTAAATCAGAGCAGAAATGTGTAGCACTGGTATGCCCAGAAGAAAGAGGAGAAGGATTTGCAGCAGTACATATTTTATTCGAAGTACGTGACATTCTGGTAATGAGGGACAGCATCTCGTAAACACCAGCCTGGCTTATTGCACTGTGATGAAGAAAGTATGCTCCAGGTGCCTGACAAAGTGCAAGCTTTGTGGACAGGGACAAGCCCTGAGAGTCCAGTGGAATGTAGAGAACATGGATAGTGCCTTTCTAATGGTTACCAGATTAACAGGTTGAGTGATAATAACAAAATGTGGAAGGTTTGTCATCCTTCACCTTCTTGTTTTTAGTTACCTTTTCTGGTTTGGAGCTGCTCAGATAATCTGCTTTACTCTTTCATTTTTACTATATGAAGAGGGATTCTGTCTTTCACTGTCTGATGCATTAAGTAAAACATGAATTGCCTTCTGAGGCCTAAAAAAAATCACACATGACTGATGTTAAGTTTTTTTTGAGGAGAGAGAAAACCGTAAGACTTCAGCAGCCCTAATTGCTTTTGATTTCACTGTAAGTGATCTCTCCTAACTGTCCTCTGAAAATACAGTTCTGTTTCATGGCACACTAGGAATTCAGCTTTCTCCCATTCTGTAAGCAGGACGTGACGATAACATGTAACGGTAAGTAAAGGTATAGTTGGAACAAGAAGTGAATGACACAACTCCTGATTCCTGCAACTGTTGCACTAAACATGCCTGTGCAGTCATTAGTCCATGTTCTTTAGTTTCCCCATAAGCAAAACTGGGGTGATGATAACACTCGCTTTCCTGGCTGACATTTCTGGAGGCCAGGTTATAAGTTGTAAAAAGAAATGTTTGGGGAGTCCTTACAGTTTTGTTGGGATGTGATGTTTTTGCAGGACATACCTGGAGGAGGAGTTGACTAAGGCCCGTGAGAAACCAAAGCTGCGTAAGGACATGTACAAGAAAATGATTGAAGTGGATCCTCTTGCTCCCACAGCTGAAGAGAATGCCCAGCATGCTGTCACCAAACCCCGATACATGCAGTGGAGGGAAACCATCAGCTCTAGTGCCAACCTGGGCTTCAGGATTGAAGGGATTAAGGTAATAGCTTCACTTCTGCCTGTTCTTGGAGACCGAACTTTGATTTGTTGATTAATCAAAAAGTTGATCCACATCAGTAGCCAGGTTTTCCAAAGGACTATGTGAAAATGCAGTAATTAAAACCACGGAGTTCAGTGTATTTTGGTTTTAAAGCATCCATAGTAATTATAAAGGAGTACTGTCAATGAAGTTAAGCATCGAATGCACGTCAGCTGCACTTCGTTCAACCCCAGAGGCATTGCAGGAGGGACCCAAGCAGGTACACAGCGTAGGTACAATGAAAATGGGACTGTTATAAGGAAGAATTCAGAATTGAAGAAGTAACCGCCTCTGCCCATGACATTCCTTTTTTGATCCAGGAATGATACATATTTATTCCAAGTGAATCACAGTAAAGTGGTTTTGTTCCAGTTATGCTTATTTGCAAGGCATGTAAAAAGCATTAGCTTAGATATTCTTGGGATTGAGGAAACCCCTTTTCCTTTTAAGTTTATTGCAATATCTGGTATAGATGGAGCTGGAATAAAGCCAAAACAACCGAAGATAAGATTTCCTCATCAACCAAGTTCACCTGCTGTTCTTGATGGATAAGTTTGTGCCCCTATACCATTCCTAGGATACTACCTTACAGCCACAGAAGAACCTTGACAACTTTCTTTCCTACCCTTTAATTCTTTATATTTGTTGTGCCCCATGGCAATGTCAGATACCTACTCAGAAACCCATTAGGACCTACTCTCGGAATATCAGCCACCTGACTTGGTTACTTGAACATTAACACTTGCTGGAATCCAGAAGTGTGCTTTCTGCTTGCATAGGCCTGTTGCAGCTCGCCTTAAACTTGTTCGCTTGGGGTTAGATAGTGGTGTACCTGTAGCAGCACAGAGCATGGTGAGGGTGCCCACACCCACCTGCACCCTGGTTGAGTACTTGTTACCTGAAGCCCATGACGGGACAGCTATGAAGAAGTTAGTATGGGTTACCCTGTGTGATTTCAGGATGTTGCCGGAGCATATACGTTTGATTTAGGTATGTTAGGACACTAAATTACAATCTGGATGAGTTTTGCTTCCATTCATAGTTCGGGCACGTAAGAAGAAAGGGATAAAAGAGAGTGACGCTGATGAGCAAAGGCTCTCTAAACACCCCTTTCTCCTCTGCTTCCCTGCGTTGTCTTTTCCCTTCCTCACTGATGGGTTCTCCTGCTGTGATACAGGAACTAGGGCTTCCAGCTCATGCTGTGCTGGCCCCTTGTATACTGTGCCACCCACTCGTGGCTGTTAGACGCAGACATCCTCATGCAGGAACTGTCTGGGTGGTAGATGATCTGGCTCCAGTCCAGCCAAGACACTATCTATCTCATCCTTTAGCCATCTAATGGTGTTATTAAGATACCTGTTTTATTCCTGTACCACTTAGGTCTTTGTATGCTCTGTGTAATGGCATCACAAGCCTAGATGATCTTAAGACCTTGTACTTATGTTCATAGAAAGATAGTTGGTCAGTGTAGAAGACTTACAGATTTATGTTGAGTCCTGGAGACTGACTGTACTAAGGGAGCACAGAGGAGCTCCAGTAAAACCTCTTGGCGTGTTCTTTGTGGTTTGGCTGGTTATCAGAGGTGGGTAGGAGCAGTATGGCACACAGACTGCATGATATTTTCCTCTGTTGAGGGACACAAAGACTTAATCTTTTATTAAGCACAGGAAATGCTTTGGAGTACTGCAGTACCTTCCCTTTTCCTCTGTCTCCCTATGCTGTTATGAGAGATGCAGGTATTCCCTTATTTTTTTACATGGAGAAATGATGACAGAAAGCGCATTGTTCAAGCAGTACAGCTAGTCAGCAATCCCTACACTGTTTCCCTGTAGCTGAACTGTACATCCAGTTCTGTATATTTGCAGAAAAGCAAAGCCGAGCTGCAGAGATCCCCATTTTGAGAGGAGAGCCTATAAGGATCAGTGGTGCCAGCTAGTGGTTGATGAGAAAAAGGGGTTGTTCTCCCTGAGTGCACTGATAACTGTTGGAGTTAACTGAACATAGTTAACTCCTCTGTGCTCCCTTAGTACAGTCAGTCTCCAGGACTCAACATAAATCTGTAAGTCTTCTACACTGACCAACTATCTTTCTATGTGGGGTTTGGTCATTCAGAAATATTTCTGCCCTGTGGCTGCTGGAGTAAGAAGCAGAAGAAAAAAAATGAAATCAAAGAATCTTCAGAGTTGGAAGGGACCTCTAGAGATCATCTAGTCCAACTCCCCTGCTAAAGCAGGATTGCCCAGAGCACATTACTCAGGACTGCATCCAGGCGGGTCTTGAAAATCTCCAGAGAAGGCGACTCCACAACCTCCCTGGGCAGCCTGTGCCAGTGCTCTGTCACCCTCACCGTAAAGAAGTTTTTCCGTGTATTTGAATGGAACTTCCTGTGTTCCAATTTGTGCCCATTGCCCCTCGTCCTGTCACGGGGAACCACTGAAAAGAGTCTGGCTCCATCTTCCTTCAACCCACCCTTTAGATACTTGTATGCCATAATAAGGTCTCTCCTCTTTTCCAGGCTAAAGAGTCCCAGCTCTCCCAGCCTTTCTTCATAAGGGAGATGCTCCAATCCCTCAGCCATCTTAGTTGCCCTTCACTGGACTTGTTCCAGCAGTTCCCTGTCCCTCTTGAACTGGGGAGAATCACAGAAACCCTTCTGATAAGGTAGCTTCCAATAAATGAGATCTGATTCACCATATGCACTCCTTCATCAGTGGGTGCCTTTTCTTTTTAGGCTGATCCATCTCTTTTCCTTGCCTTGCTTCCCTGTCTCTGAAATCAGGCCAGGTTCACTTACGGGATTTGTCCCTCTTCCTCTTATCAAAAATAGTTGGAACCATTGGGTTTCTTTACAGCTGGCACCTGACGCTCAGTCTCTTGTGCCTGCCAGATTCAGAATGCAGGTTTGCTTTTTGGAAGGCGCTGTCTGAAGGCTAAGCATCACAGTGTTTCTATAACATTAGTAGTTTCGCAGAGCAGAGATGCATGGGGCTGAGAATCGGGAGTTCCGGCTTCCCATTATGTTACCGAATCTCTGTGCAGTTTGGGAAGTTACTTCTTCCTTTGACACGATTCCTTTAGCTGTAGATCAGGGATAGCCATTTTTCCAGGAGGACACCAGATTTGAGTCATAAATCTTTGTGAATCCGTTTAGGTCATGACCTTAACCCCAAGTCTGTTAAAGGAACTCTGCAGAGGAGTCTGAGCAAGACCACACAGGTTAAGATAGGTAGCACTTTTATGGAGCAGCCAAACCTGCCCTCCTGCTAGCTGTGTCACTGTCACATCTAATGAGAAGTGCTGCAGGTGACCCACTAGCTGTACTGCGCAGTGAACTGCTCTGCTGTGCAGGAGTGTATGTGGAGGCCCTGACAAAGGTATGACTTCAAGGAGCAAGTCAAGCAAGCGCATCCTGGGGATCAGGTACCTTCAGAGTTGTTGCAAGGACCTGGTATAGAATACGAGGGATGGTGCCATTCGAAATCCGAATGTTGTTTACAGCAAGTAAAGTCAGGCAGCAGTTATGTTTCCTGCCAGCCACTGCAAAGGAACAAAATCATGAAAGTGTTTCTAAACAACAGGGAAGCAAGCAATTAGTCTGTCCAGACTAAAAACGATGAAAAGGGAACACACAGCAGCTATTCCAGACTTTGCTCTTGGATTTGGGGCACCTGGAGAAATTATTTTTAAAACAGCCTTACTCCAGTGAAGAGGTCCGAGGCATCGGATGAAATTCCAAACTTCTGTGTGCTGTTGAGTATTATCATACGTCAGATCAGATGGCTCCTAACTTTCACTGCCTACCTGCTGAACTTCACTTGCATAACTTACACATCTCATCAGGCTGACATGCCATACTTGTATCTGGCCCACAGCCTTGGAATAAAATTCTGTTTATTCTGCTGCTAGAAAGTCTGGTAGGTGGGAGGCTGTTCTGCATGGCTTTGCCATTCAGTCAGTTCGTTCTCTTGCATGATAAATCTGGAAATTTAGCGTTACCAGATTTTTTTCATGTGTATACTAAGGGACCGAGTTTTGCTGTGGAGTAAATAGTGTTTCACCTGCTGAGACTGGAGCTGAATTTACCCAGTTTTAGTGCACTGACTTTTAATATGTGGGAAGGAACACATTTTGATGAGCTGTTGATTTACTCTTAAAATGGAGATGAGGAACTTCATTGGACTGATACGATGGAGAGGAATAGTTTGACAATCTTTCAGGCTTTTAGTGGATACAGGCTACCAGCTGTTTTACATGTGCGGCCTAAAAGCTCATATTTGCGCCCCTTGAAGCAACAGGGATGTTCTTGGAGAAATGTGTATTCATATAGTCTGTGTTGAACAGATACCTCTGGTTCATGCACTGCTCTTACTTGTAGCCCCACAAGCACAAACTGGTCACTACCAGCACATAAAAAGACTTGTTTTTTCAGTAGCAGGATGCTACTGTACTGAGTCGTACCCCAGCACAAAAATACTCTGAGTTTCTCCAGGACCCAGTTGGATGCAAGCATGCACGCACTGTCCTTTGCCAGCATTCACACACCTGCTTTGTCACTGCTAGTATTTGTGTCACTCCCAGCATTGCATGTCTCGAGTTGTTCTTGGCTGCAACTGGCTTTCTGTTCTGTGACTTCTGGGTCACATTAATGTGCAAAGTTATATTGGGACCTGAATCTTAACCGCAATTCTTTGATTTCCCCATTGAAAAACAAAAACAACAAAAAACCCCAAACAAAAAGGAGTAGTATCGGGTTTGAAAATGTCCCTTTACACCCACAGCCAGGATTTGACTACACCAAGCTAGATGAGAGGACAACCGAAGAGGTCACTGTGGTTTGCCCCATTGAACTTTGCACTGCTGGTACTGTCACGTGAGAAAACCCTCCTGCAAGCTGGTAATACCATGAGGGTTGGTGGTTTGTTGGTTGTTTTTTTTTTCAGCTGTGCTCAACAGGAAATGAAGTGCCATTTAAAGTTACCCAATCAGCTTTTGTATCTTTTCTCCACTTCTTGCTTGTTTTATCTGCTCTCTTCCTGTTCAACTACTCACTTTCATCTGGTGAGCAAGAGCTGAGCTGCTCGTGGTTCCACAGGATTGACTGATGAAAGGAATAATATGTGTGTAGTATAAATTGTCTCTGTCTTTGTGCGTTTTTGTGCAGAAGGCGGATGGAACATGTAACACAAACTTCAAAACTACGAAGACACAGGAGCAAGTTCTACAGGTTTTTGTGGAATTCATTGAGGGCAACACAACTATTCTGGTGAGTCTGAACTCTTCAGGTTCACTGATCTTTGACCCAGTGAACTTGCTTCAGGGCCATGTGTCCTCTGGTATAAGGAAGATCAATGAAATTATCATCAAGGAAGAAAATGGTTTGAACTTCCAGTCCCTCTCAGCAGATGGAGTGGACATGGGGACTTGGTGGGCTGTGAGAAGTAGTTGACTGAGACCAGTTCAGGCAGCTCTTGCCATGAGTTCAGTTCACGTTCTTCATGCTAGCAAAACACTGGTCAAGCTAACTTACAGCTTGCCATCAGCTTCGACCATGAGTGTTAGATGCATCAGAGATGCTTAGACAGTGTCCAAGTAAGGATTGTGTTTGCAGGAAAACTTGTGATTTGGGAATTCAGTCTGGAGAGGATAAAAACAGCCCATGGGGGCAGGAAGTGAGATTGGTGGCTGGCTGTGCTCCTACATGTGAGACTAGCCTTAAAGAGCAATTCCTGTATGCTGCCTCACGGGTAGCACAGCAGGCATGTGGTAGATGGCATAACATGTCTCTTCTGTTTGGAACTTCAAAGGATGCCCTAGTGTTTTGCTGCAGTGTAGAAGCCATTGTGAAGGCAGATTAGCCCTCCAGGAGGAGCATGCTTGGTAACAAAGAGCAGCATTAAGAATGTATACTAGAGCTTTCCGCATTAGGCCTTGATTTTATTTATTTTTTTTTTTTAATCCCCTCTCGTCCCCCGGCCCAGCTTGGTTGGAGCTCCTTGTCTCTCTAACACAACTTCATTCCCTTTTCACTGTGGAGAACTGAAAGATTTTTAATTGCTTGAAAGGTTTTTCTCTTTAATAAAGAGAAAGAAAAAAAAAAGGGATGCAGAAAGCGTGCAGCCAGATGCTATCTCGCTGCATCCAAAGCAAGACAGATGAGTATACTTGGTGTAACACATGCAGCAGAGAAACTCCAGTCTGTTCAGTCACTATGATAGCCTGTTGAAGTGTATTTTCAGATTGACTTTCAAATGATGAACCTGTTGTTTTAAAGGACTCCTAGCCTAAAGTTAACATGATCTTGTCATTATATTGACTCTTGTAAACTCTTGTATCTTCATTCATTCTTTACTTATTTGGGTTTTTTTTTCTCCTCTTCCTCCAGAAAAAATACCTCAAGCGTCTGCAGGAAATTCATATCATTCTTGAATCCTCAGACTTCTTCAAGCGACATGAGGTGAGCAGTGAGTGCAATGCTGTGGAGGTGCATTGCTGTTTGTCATTCAGATGTACTTCAGAATAGCCTGCTGTATTAGTAGAAAGGAGTTTGTAGAAGAAGAAAACTCATATACGTTAACACAGATACCTCAAAGCCTCCATCACAATGATACAGAAGATTAAACCAGTTCAGGAATAGTGAATCCTCCCATCTTTTTAGCATCCCAGCACTTACAGCTCTGGGCCACTGCAGGGAATAGTTTACTAGTACCAGTTTCCTGTGGTTTCTCTTATCTCGGTGTGTTCCAGTGGGAATCTTTATGGGGGAATGTTAATGTGGAAGCTTGCATTTGCTACAGTAGGATTCAGCTGTAGTTTGACAATGAAGACTTTGTTATGCTGGATTTACATTGAAACACTGTATAATTCTGCTCTATATGTTCTCCTTGTATGCTTTGCTGTGGAGAAGGCATCATTAGCATTGTAAGTTCTGCTTGTTGCAGCTCAAGATTTTGAGGTCAGACATTTTATTTTACCTTGATAATTTCCTCTTGTCACTAGAGGCATTTTTGTTAATCATGGGTCATGGTCATTCTTGGAAAGTAGTCACTGGCTTTTGCTGAATTGCCCAAATTGAGACCTGCTGCCAAGTGAGCTGGAGAATTGCTTTTCTTAACTTTGCCTACTTTGGGTCCCTTTTTCCATCTACAGGCCCATTTATATGTTACTGATTGACATGGTTATGCAAATTGGGCATGTAAATTGTCAATGTGTAAGTGCAGCCCAAAAGTCTGTTGGATCACAGGTGAGGTCATCTTAGTGGGAATCATTAAGTGATGGGGGAGTGCTAAAGATGTGTTTTTAACCACATTGTCTCAATCTGTCTTCCAGGTCGTTGGAAGTTCACTACTTTTTGTACATGATGGCACTGGGAATGCCAATGTGTGGCTGATTGATTTTGGGAAGACCACACTTCTCCCTGATGGGCAGACACTGGATCACAGGATCCCCTGGCAAGAAGGCAACAGGGAGGACGGGTACTTGTTGGGATTGGACAATTTGATTGGCATCTTGGAAAGCATCACTGAAAGATGAGTTGAGAACGGCACAAAACTTGCAGGGCTGCTCTGTAACTTTCTGCTCTACTGGGATCCCTCAGTTGGAAGGAAACCTTTAACTCCCTCTGAACTCCTGAGGTCATCAGTGCAGAGAGAGCTGCATCCAGAACCCAGCAGTTAGTCACCAAAATGACTTTGCATCAGCCCTCTATGAACCTAAATAACTCCAGATTGGTCTGTATTGCACCAGCCCAACTTCAGACTGGTCCTCAGAGAATGAAGATCTCCATACTCAGGAATCACACCAGCATGAGTCAAGAGATCTGTGTGGTAAACCAGAATGATTCTGATTTCTGGCAAACAGATGGGACTCCAGATTACCTCTTAGTGAACCAGAGCAAGTGCTGGGGGATTCAGGGTAGGAATAACAATTTTTCAGGGAACTGCACAGTTTTGAAACCAGTAAGAGTGGGGTTTTTTTCCCCCCTAATTCCAAGTTTCCTTGCTCCTTTGTACACTATAGGTTGGACCAACAACTTCTGCTGCATTGTCTTACAGTGTGCACAAGGTGGAAATGGGTGATACTCACAAGAAACCTGGAGTAAAGGGAGACAGCAGTTTGTAGTGGCTGGATGTGGTAACTGCTGTTGATCATTCCTCTTCTTCCCTACCCCAGCCCCGATTCGCTTCTATCCGAGAACAGCCTCTGCTTTTATGTAGCCTCTCAGGAGATTACAAACACTCTAGGGGGAGAATAGCAGCCTATTGTCTCCCAAAACATCTGACTTTCAGACTGGGCGGGCTGTTGGAAAAGTGCCTAGCTTGGCAAGTTTGGCCTCTTGCAGCTGAACTGCAGTTCTGAAAATCAGTAATGACTCTTTCGCACACAGACCAGGGAACTAAGGGGTTTTTTCAAGGCTTGTTTATTTTTAAAGGCAAAGCCCTTATACAGGTGCACACACGTGCCCGCACTAGTAGCCAGCAACCAACACGATCTCTTAAGATCATGGTTTGACTGGCTCCTAATGCATGTGACTTCTTGGCCGTGTTCCTGTTCCCAATACGATGCTGCCACGTCAGTGTATAGACTGGAGCAGCGATCGGGAAGGTAATGTTTCTGCATTCACAGCATTACACTAACGAGATAATTCTCAGGCATCCTTCCTCCAAGGTATTGGCTGTTAACTCAGGGCAAAGGAAGGGGGAAGGAATGTCAGTATATCACATCCCCTGGTCCTCGTCTGGAATTGCAGGACCATCTGTGGTTCATTCTTCTCTTGCTGTGGCCCAGGCACGGACACAGAAAATTCACAGTGTTTAGGTTAAAATCAAGAAAGACTGAAGTGGTTTCTTGTAATGGCTTCACATACCTTCTCTGTTGGTTGCTTCTAGTCACTTGAACAGTTCTTTAAATACTATCAGTATAAATACTATCAGTATTCACATGTTCACTCACATTCCAGGTTTTAACATTTAATAATGTGATAATGCAGTTTTCAAAACGAGGGCAAGACTTAAAATACTATTTGATTGTTAATCCCCTTTCAACATCTACAGCTGGTAACGCACATTGATCAGTAATTGCTGTCTTTTGCCTGTGTCCTGCGTTCAGAAGAGATTCTGAGAACTTTAGGATATATCAAGGTGACTCCATGCTTTGCGAAACTGCTATTTCAATAATAACTGTGCTCATGAGCGAAAAAAGACTGTAGAGTCCAGGTCTGGAAGAAAATTTATCTATTAGAATTAGAATTGAGCAGCCTAAAATAATTTCTAAAAGATAACACACTACTGTACTAAGAGATCAGTCAGACTCAATAATTTTTTCATCACCTCTAAACAAAACATCAGTATTAAAAATTCAAGCTCAGTTGTGACCTAAAAGTTAGATGCCATAGTGTGGGTATTCTGTAGGAAGTAATGACATATGGGAACATTCCATCCTAAACCAGAATTTGTTTGAATTCATAATTATTTTTGCAGTTCACTGCAAATTCAGACTTCCTTCTGTGGCCTTCCAGAGTCGCTCTCAGTTTTATTTTCATAATAGGATGTTAACGAATTTTCCACTTAGATGTTTCAGAGGGTTTACACTTTTTAAGTGACAGCAAGCCTTCAATAGCAAGCACAGATACTATCATTCCAGATGCCTCCTAACTTTTGAACTGCTATGAGATGGCAAATTAATCTGTGGTGAATGTCATACAACTTGGAAAAAAAAAAAAAAAAAAAGTCTTTCTCCTTTCCTGCAGCCAACAGGTAAGCCATCGGTTTGCAGTGCTTAAGGAGAATAGGAAGTAAATATGTCTCTAATAACAATACCTTTTCTATGAGACTGCAATTGCAAGCAGTCCTACCATAAAAAAAAATTAAATTAGAAAAGTCAGAAATGAGATTAAGGTGATAGAATTCATTAGTGGTTTGCCTAATTAAGCTTCAGAGTTAAATTTATTTCTTTTGTTACCGCAGATGTGAATCTTTTGCACCAGTGCAACTTATTTTCTAGAGGGGAGATTTAGAGGGTAAAATTTGATGCTCAAATGTCAGTTGAGAATTTGAGACAAACTTCTTTTACAATTACTGTCCCTTTCTAAAGGAGAACTAGAAGCAACGTGGTACCAGTAGCTTCAAAAGAACCAACTGCTGCTAGCACCTGGATGGTTTGCAGTACATGGTCTTGGGGGAAAACATGGAGAATGATCCATTCCTCTGCAGTAGTTGAAAAGGTCAGGGAAAAAAGAAAACAACTGCTATAACAGACCCTCATCTGGAAACTCATTCTAGATGATAAATAGTTCTAGCAAGTTAGTTTTGAAATGGCCCTTTGGCTTGCTAAGGGATTAGAAGGGAAGAAGCCACAATCTGCTGCTGCTGTTATGGGAAAGGAGAAAAGGAGGCAGCTTTTCACTAGCCAATGGCAAGTGCAGGACTGCAACTGAGCACTGGAGCTCTAAGGGGTTGGAGGATATGAGCTCATGAGCAAACTACCACAGGGTACATTAGATACCTTGACTCGCATCGGGTGGCCCAGAGTGCCTCTCTGTGTACACTCGCGTGCTAGTGTGAGGAAGCAGCATCGCCGCCTTTCACTATGGGGTAAGCTGCCTTGAATAAGCTTGTATTTACTAGAGGGTCACCATGATGCCTGCGCACAGGCATGTAACATAGAAGAGCTGATGCCTGATAACCAAGGTACTTGTTCACATACAAGTCCAGAATGTAGTTCTTTAATGCCTCTGCTGAGATATTGCCTCACTCTGGAGACACGGAGAACACGTGTGTTTCCACAGCACGGTAAGATGTGCTGGCCCAGAGCCACTTTGGTGCTGAACCTCTGACTTAGCACCGAGGTCTTTAAACTCACTAGTTAGACGCAGCAATGCTTACTGCTGTAGCTGCTGCCTTCCTGTGTGAATCTAGCAGTAGGACTTCTCCCTCAATTTTGTCAGTGACTTGGTTTTTTGGCCTTGGACAACTATCCTAGGCCTCAGTTTTGTTCCCATTTTACAGATGGGAATAGTACCTACTCGCCTCACAGGAATGGTGTGAGGCTGTCCTTTGTTATTGCTTGCAAGACGCTGTGAGATTCTTTGGACGAAGGTGCAATATAGAAAGAAATGCACAAAGAGATGCATCAGCTAAGTTTAAAAATTATGGGGGTTGAGGCCCCACAAGGATATGAATTTGGATGAAATTTAACCAAAGTGGTAAAAATTAAATCCCTCTTTTTTTACATGGGGGAAATTCACCTAACATCTGATCCAGTTCCTATTATAGGCAAAGATTTCAATGGGAGTTGGACCAAACCCTGAAGTATCTCAGAGGGCTCTTGCTATTATTTTTTTTTATTGCTATTGTTATTATTTGTTATTCTTAAGGTACTGAGATGGAATGGCCTGTATCATCCACAGTGCATCTGTCCTGAACACTACAATGCAATGCTGACCATGGTCACTTTTGACATTGACTGTATTGGTTGAGTGTTTGTTACTCTGAAGTGTGTATGCTACTAAATAAATGAGACTGGAGGAAAAAAGACATCCACTGTGATTTAGTCACAGGACAGTAATGTCTTTTCTTCAAGAATTTCCTTAGGGAAGGAAATTTATTTCAGTGTTTCTTGTGCTTTTAGTCTTTAGCATCTAGTACTTCCTAAAACAAAACTGGTTCTAAGACATCTAGACGCTAACTTATGTTTGCTTTAGAACCTGATCCACGCAAAGCTTGACAACATCCTTCCAGGTAAGCTCTGTCTCAGAAATCTCAGTTCGTAGCCTACAGTGTAGCACAGAATTGTGCATC